TTGCTACTCTATAACTGTAATTTTGCTACTGTTATGAATCGTAATGTAAATATCTTTTTGTTTTCCGATGGTCTTAGGCCACCCCTGTGAAAGGGTCGTTCGACCCCCAAGGGGGTCAAGACCCACAGGTTGAGAACCGCTGTCCTAGAGGGTCAATTTTATTTGAAGGTATGGGGTAACTAAAAATATGTTATTATGGCGCATAATTCATGTGAATTTTTAACGATAAAGCAAGAGACGGTAAGTGTTGCAGATAACCACGCTATGAACCCTGATTCTTCTCGGTACTCACTTATGATGCTCTCTCTTGGGGTATTGGGTTGACATGGCTGGCTGTTGACATTTATAGTGAGGTGGGCAGTGTGGCTGGGACTGGGAAACAAAGACACCCGCCCTATTAAAGCTGGGGGAGATTGGACCTTGATGATGGGGAAACCTTTTCCCTCTTGCTGATGTAGGGACAAGTCAAAGAAGAAGAAGAAAGTAAAGGCAAAGATGGAAAAGAAGTCAACGCCCTCTAGGGGCTCGTCATCCAAGTCGTCGTCAAGGCAGCTAAGTGAGAGCTTCAAGAGCAAAGAGTTTGTGTCCAGTGACGAGAGCTCTTCAGGAGAGAACAAGAGCAAAAAGAAGAGAAGGCAGAGTGAGGTGTGGCAGGGGCTTGGGGCTGTGGGCCTGGCAGGGCGAGGGCCATCTGAGTCGGTATGGGGGGTGGCAGCAGATGTTTCTGGGCCAGGGGTTGTGGCTGGTCCATAGGAGTAATGGGATGGAATGCATAGGTGGAATTCTGGGGTTCTGAAGGCTAGTGTTGGAGTTTAGGGAGGGGTAGGGAATTGGGGGACCTTCACCACTGACCAGTGGCTGGGAGGGCAACTGGGACTCTCCACCTTTCCCCTAAAGAGCCCTCTGGTTTTCAGGACTCTGAAGAAGAGGAACTAGCCAGTACTCCCCCCAGCTCAGAAGACTCAGCGTCAGGATCTGATTAGTAGAGAGGAGGAAAATTCTCTCTCCTTGGGCTTGCCCTGTCACCCCGTCGCCCCACTCATGTTTTGGTACCAGTTTCTCATATGCAATGTAGTCTTCGGATTCTGTGCCATCTGAACAAGCTCTTCCGGCGGTGTGCGCTTGACCGGGACAGCAGGGGAGGCGTCTTCCGGGGCTGCTGCTTCACGACGATGCCGCTTTATAATTTGGGGAGAGTGGGTGGGAGGCAGGGCAGTGCAGGATCCACATCCTCGCCCTTCTTTCCCGACCTTAGGGGTACAGCTGCTGCTTGTCCTGGTCAAGTTGCCACAGCTGGGATCATGTGAGGTCAGGCCTGTAGCTCCTAACGGGGGCCAATTTCTACTTTAATTTTGTATTTCTGATTCTGTGAAAATCATTTAATAAAGGGAACTGACTTTGGAAAGCATGTCCTTACGCCTGCTCTGTCGCCCTGTTGTACTGCTCCCACTTTTCTGGGTGGTGTTTACCACACTGCTAGGACTGGGCAGGGCCTTCAGGACAGCCGGGAAGCAAGTCTCCAGGTACGTCCTGTTCTGTTCCCGGCTGGACAAGCATTGGCTTTCACCCTCTTCTGCAGGGATGGGCCACCTGAGAGTACAAATGAGAGCTGATCTGATTAGGAAGTCTCTCTCACAGTTCCACTCCATTAGCCAAGCTGAGGAGAAGCAGCTACTGGCTCCATCCTTAATCACCTGAGTCAAGGGGCTTGCAAGGCTTTAGATAATGGAATCAGGATTGACTGGCCTCTGCAACCAAGAGAATGGAAACC